AATGTTTAAATATTACTTTATAGGTTCAAACGGAGTCAGACACAACATCACCCAATGAAGCTGAACTCAATTCTGCTACTGAAATATCCACAGACTCAGAGTTTGAAAACGATGAAGTTATTCGAGAAGCACCAAAAATTCTTATAGATGATACACACATAAAAAAACCAACAAAAGTGAAGGTAAGTGCATATACATTAATCTCATAAATAAATTTATAAATATAAATTCATTAATTTAAGATAAAATCAGCTGTAATAACTACTTCAACAAGCAATAAACACAATATAAGAGAAGGTAGCTATTTAGCAAAATATCAAACACAACATCAACCGCCACAGCCACAATTTAAGCCCCTAGTTCAAGTAGATCCAACACTTCTAAATAGTAATCGTGCACCATTACAAAACCCCCGTCCAGGTGATTATTTACTTAATAAAACTGCCAGTACTGAAGGTATTGCATCCAAAAAGAGCTTAGAACTGAAGAAGCGTTATTTACTTGGCGAGGCAGTAAGTGGTAATAAAATACAAAAGTCAGGTTCGACCTCAGTACTAGATTCAAAAATACGTAGTTTCCAATCAAATATATCTGAATGCCAAAAACTACTAAATCCTAGCAGTGATGTAAGTCCAAGCATGAAGACATTTTTAGACCGGACGAAATTGGGAGAAAATAATAAAAATGAAATATTACGTTCAGCTACTAGTAACATTTTGAATGAGCTTCGTGTAGCGATTACTATACAAAAAGCCTCTTCCACCACCTCTACAGACAACGAAAAGGAAAATGTTTACGTTAATAGCAAAAATGAGCTCAACAAAGGTATGGAGTATTCAGAAAGTATAAACTCAACACTGCTTGAATCAATAAACAAAAAAACCCCAACAACACCAACAGTTAATACTCAAACAATAATTGAAACAATTGATTTGGTTACCCCAGAAAAAGAAATAAAAGCAATTATCGATTTAACCGCAATTGAATCGCCCAAAAAGATTAATAAAGAACTTGCTGATATTAAATCGGTTTCACAAAATGGAAATATTATCCCTGTGCTCACTGCCACTGACACCAATAAAATTATTGATTTAACCGTTAGTTCGCCAGAGAAATGTGATAATATAATTATAGCAGATGCAAAACCCGATATATCAAAAGATGTAAAAGAACACATACCCGATTTATTAGGTCACATAGAACACGAAGTTAATGCTGATAAACAGTTTAAGCGAATTTCCAACGCAATTGCTGAAGATCAACAAAATTTGCTGAATAATTCAGACGATGAAGAAAAGCGAGATTCACCAGAGAAACAAGAAGAACACTATGAAAACGATACCTTACAAATTGAAGTACCTACTATACCCTGGCATACTCGTAAAAATCTGCTCTCCTCCACTACTGCTTCTAGTTGCACTTCAAACTCATCTAGCTTAGAAGATATTCAACATTATATATTGGAATCTACAACTAGTCCAGATACGCAAACTGGTAGTCATCAAGTGCCACGAGTTGAAATTCATGATGTAACCGGAACACTTATGCAAACTGATAATTTAATGTTAGCTGATAATAAATATGAAGATGACAGTTTAAATTGTAAATACACAAATAACAGTGAAAGTATTATAGTGCCAGAGATACCTGCAGTAAAAACTACCGTTGTGGAAGATGATGCAGAACTAGATGTAGAACCTGTTACTGCTACACCTGAACCAGCTGAGTGTACTATTATAGAAGCAAAAGAACAAGCACCGCCTTTACCAGAACAAGGTCCACCATTACCTGAAAAGGGACCACCCAAAATAAAACCAGCAAACCTAAAATTTGATACCAAAAATGAAAATAAAGTTGAAAGTTTGAAAAATTTACCTCTGGTTGTTGAGCAATTTGCAGAGCACACGAAAGTCATCAAACCACTTACATTGAACCTAAGTAAAAGTCAAAAAACGCCCACCACACCAACTGCTAATCTCTGTACGCCTACTTCTCCTTTAATAGATAATGATAAAACTCCTACGGCAGACTTGTTATCAAAAGGTTCCGATTCGGAAACAGAACCGACTGGTACGGGCCATGCGCTAACTGAAACGGAGTTGTCTGATTGGACAGCAGATGATTGCATATCTGAGAACTTTATTGATATGGAATTCGTGTTAAATTCAAATAAAGGTACAATTAAACGTAACAAAAAAGGCAAAAGAAAATCAAATACGACTAAATTGCCAACAACAAGTGAAGTTATGTTTGAAGTAGCTAAAACAGCACCTGTTGCTGAATTTGAGGGTATACTCAAGTCTATCGATATTGATGATATTGAATTCATGGACACAGGTTCGGAGGGTTCATGCGCGGAAGCTTATTCAGCTACAAACACAGCACTTTTACGCAATCGTGGGTATATTGAATTTATTGAAACTACTCCGCAACAAACACCAAGTCACAAACTCAACAGTTATTCACAACAGTTAAATAGTGATAAATATGGTGCAATCACAACGAAACGTGATGAAAAGCTTGGTATTGATTACATTGAGCAAGGCGCTTATATAATGCAAACTGAGGATAACTCTCAAGATATGCTTAAGACTCCAGTTAATGAACATCCATCGCAACAAATAGCTACAATATTAAATGATAAGGCATTAACTCAATCTGTTTCTATTATGACACAATCTTTAACTGACTCAAGTACATTGAATGATCTTGACGATGACAGTCTTTGTATAGTTACTCCTAACTCTCAAGCACAACTTTCATCTGTGACAGCGAAAACAACAACAGAGGAAAGTGATGCACTCACTGTCGTTACTAGTCCTATTGATTCTTCTTCTCCAAAAATGCATGAACCAACAGCTGCGCAACGTATAGCAGGCAAGAGTCCGGAAACTGGTGGAGGTTCAACACCAAGCAGTTCTGAAAAACAACCTAAGACATCACAATCAACTTGCACACCCTCTAGCACATCGAACACAATGTCAAGTAAACCTACGCCATCACGACAATCATCACAAGAAAACTCCGCACTAGTTCACAGTAATGGTTCAGCTGCGGGTGCGAAAAATGCACAAAATAAACTTTCGGATGAACTTTCCTATGAATATGTGCGTGCACTACAACAAAAAATTACACAAATTAGTACAGCAAGAGATTCGTTAGAATCTCGAAAACAACGAAGAAAAAGTTCCAAAGGTGAAGCACCTGTCCTAGCAATTTCTAAAAATTCGCAACAAACTGTGATAGAACCGACACCGCCAAACAGACTACAACAAAATTTAGACGATTCTCAGACTACAACAATGACAACACCTGCAATCGGCACAACACATGTAAACAGGGTACCTGAAATACCAACATTAACACGAAAGCTGGAGGAAATAACCAAAGAACGCACTAAACAAAAGGACCTGATACATGACTTAGTCATGGATAAACTACAGTCGAAAAAACAATTAAATGCTGAGAAACGTTTACATCGCAGTCGTCAGCGCAATATGCTCACAAGCGGCTATGGCAGCGGATCAAGTTTAAGTCCTACACCGAAAATAGAAGCAGCAAAATCGACAGATGACAACAATTGCACAAACAAAGCGCATTACCATGTATCAACGGCAGCAAGTAATGCAGATAATCGCACAAACTCTCAGCGCATACTTACCGCGACTAGCACTGCCTTCAAAGAAAATACTCCTATACAAACCTCAGCAACATATGTTTCGGCATACAACACTGGTGGTATTATGACTACTAATCGATCAAATGCCTATAAACAAAGACCTATTAGTGAGCACATACATGGAGAAAAATTAGATGCCTTAGAACGGTATAAGCTGAATAAAACACCTTCATTTACATATAGCAGCAGCAACAATAAGCATAACACCACAGAACTATCAACAGCTGAAGATATTAAATATCCTATACCAATTGCACCGGTTAGACAAAATCGTGGACGCAATGCAGCAGTCACAACACCAACTGTTGAAAATCCATTAACAACATCAACAGAAAATCTGCGTAGTGAAGCTCGTGCTCGAGCTCGACTAAAATCAAACACTGAGCTAGGTTTGAGTCCTGAAGAGAAAATGCAATTATTACGTAAACGTTTACAAGTGGAACACTTAAATGTTAAGCAAAATTCGGTAACAGCTGTAACTGACAGTGTAAGCAATTCAACGGACTCTAAAACTGGCAATCAAATGCATACAAAACCAAAGGCAAACGTAGAACACGATCTAAGTGCACGTGATCGTAAAATGAGTACATCGAAAAGTGTAAATGATTTAGTCTTTATAGCTAATCATCAACAGAATGCCAGAACAGAAGATCATTTAACTGCAACAGTAGCGACTTCAGCAGATTTCACTTCGGATCCGAATATATTGCTCTCCTCTACGAGTGCACAAGCTAACACAAAAACAAAATCAAGTAGGCGTCCAAAAGATCCAGAACGAAGAAAAAGTCTTATACAATCGTTGTCTAGTTTCTTCCATAAGAGTTCTTCGTCCTCCTCCAGTCACAATAATAAAGATAAGAAAGAACAAAATAATACTACTGCTAGTGCGACCAACTCTGCACCGGCAGAGCGTCCAAATACTAGCGGCAGCAGCACTACTGCGTCTGGTAGTACCGATGGTATGTTCAGTCGTTTCCGCATTTCACCCAAATCAAAGGAAAAATCTAGGGTGAGTAGTTTACTTAATTCTTATGGGTAGATTTATTTTTATGTTATTCTGTATATATATATATGTAATTATATATATTTATTTTGAATTACTTGTTTTGGTGTTTGTTTAAGTGTAGTTTTTGTTAAATCATTTCTGCTGCAAAAAATATTAAATTCTGCAGTAAATTGTAAAAAAAAAAAAAATCTGAAAAAAAAATATTTTGTATTTTTTCCGAGTCAAAAAAAAAAAATTATAATAGTTTCATATTTAAAAAAAAAATCATTTATTTTCATGTTTTTTAATTACATAATGCATGCTTTTTAAATAATCTCATTATTGTGAAGTAACTAAATATATAAAAATCTGTACATATTTCTAACTTTTGCAGTCATTTTCCGATGTCAGGATTTTGGGTTTTGGTGTAAGATTAATTTTTTTAATGTAATTTTGTACTGTGAAACAAATTATTTGTATATTCACTGCTTCCATTTTCCAACGTTTTTGTGCATAATTTTTTTTTTTTTTAATATATTTATATCTTTAATATTTAATATATTTAATATTTCGACGCACTTAATTCCCATTTGCTTATTTTAATATTTATTTTGAAGCAAAAAAAAAGTTGGTTTTGGTTTTTTTTTTTTTGTTGTTTATTAAAGTTGTCGACAATTGGTAGATAAAAAAAATTTTAAATCATTCACAGACATTCAAGAAATAAATTTGTTTTTCGATATTGAAACTATATTGTTGAGAAGCTTACAAGAAAAATTTTTTTAGCACAACTTTTCCCTAGTTTGATTTTTGTTGTCTTTTTCATTAGTAATTAATAACATTTAAACAGTTCAGTAAAATCAGTAAAATATTTCATAAAGTAGTTAATCATATAAATTTGTAGTCCATTTTAATAAATTGAGATCTTAAAATATTTTAAACTACTTAAAAACAACAAGAACGTCCAAAAACGACATTAGGATATTATTTCTCTTCCATATAGAAAACATCAATACTTTAAAATTATAATAATTAATAATAATTATTTTGCTAATTTGTATATTTTTAAAATTATAGTTAGAACTCTTATGCAGCTTTAACTTTTTATTTTTCTCATTAAAAAAAATTTTTTTAAGTATATTGTACACATATTCAATTTTTGGTGCACAATAGCCTTGCTCTCCATAAGTATTTCATCGTTTTTAGTGAAATTTTGCACAAGCTGCTTATAATATTTTTTTCAACACACTTAATTTTTTTTTAAATTAATTATATATTATTTTCTTAATATTTTATAACAGCACCGTTTTTGCCTAAATGTTTGTGTTGTCCATATATGTTAATTAAAAGTATTTTAATCCCAAATATAATACTCACCACGTTTTTTTTATACACCACAATATTATATAGTTTTTTATTTTTTTTTTTACCTTTTTACAGAAAAAATAATTTAGTTTATGATTTGAGTAACGATTTATCTGCGATATGTATGAATTTTTAAACGTTCATATGCATTCGAGTATTTAGCGAAAATAATTAAATATATTTGTTATGTTAAATAAATAAATAATTCTTAATTATTATTTAATTATAATTTAATAATTGTTATTGTGATTTACAAAGAACAACGAATGTTTGTACCAATATGTGAACCATTAGTCGGCAACTTTTTGTTTTGTATTGTTTTATTTTTAATTATTTAATTGTTTATAGCAAAATATTTCTTTAAATTTTTATTAATTTCTTTCATAATAAAATATATACATATGTGTTATACAAAAAAAAAATAATAAATGTAGTTTTTTTGGTGTGGCCTTCTAAGAATTCTATCTGTTATTAAAAAATATTTGCAAATATACATATGTGTATGTGTAAATGTACATATATATATATATACATATATATAGAAAATGTTATATAAATATTTTTTTTATTCCATCTGTTAAAACTAGAGAAGCATGAATATAGAATTCCGATTTAAGAATTATTCATTTTAAAAGTGTTTAACAAAAATGTAATTTTACTATTTTCTACCAACAAGAGTTAATATTGAAAATATGATTAATATGACTATACGTACCTATAAAATACAATTAATATAAATAAAACAATTTATATTAATATTTATCAAACATTTTTTATACGCAATTTATTACAGTTTAGTATACGCTCGGTATTCTAGAAACAATTAAAAAATATATTTTTTAATTGTTATGTGTCTGGCTTTTATGAAGAATTAAAAATATATTAAAACTTATTTTACAGCTGGTTTATGATCTCGTTCTAATATAACACAATAAGTGAATTTTTTAATAAATTTTCACAGCAAATTAATAAAACTCCAGAAAAATGTGCGAACAAAAAAGTCAAGTACGGCTTTGGGTCAATTGGCTAATGAACGCTGACTCTGAGCTTTAATTTGGCAGGGCACGAGTTTAATCCCTGGTACTTGCAGTTTTGAAAAATTATTTACAAATTAAATACAAGAATTATTTCCAAGACCACTGTTGATAGGTATTTGGCAATACTCGAAACAGCTGTATGATCAGCCAAAATTTCAATAAATTAATACAATATAAAAATAATTTTTGTTGTTGTAGTTCACTATTTTTCAAAAAACCTTGTTTTAAAAGAATAATATAATAATTTTTTAATATATTTTATTAGATTTATATTACCAATGTCTTGAATTTTTTACTTTCTCTACCATTTTGTGGTATTTTAATAATCGTATGCTAAAGAAATGAAATAGCATGCAATATAAATTCAATATATCCAATTAAATATATAAAATTATAATTTCATACTGTGATTTAAAAACTTATTCAGAAGACCCAAATACTGTTTAGTGTTATGAACTTATATTCGAATGCTGTTTGAGAAAGGTGTTATTATATATAGACATCAATTTTTAGAAAAAACTTATTTCAGTTTTAATAAAAAGAACTTCTTAAAGAGAATTTATAAAATCTTTTGAGTATTATTATGCCATAAAAAACATATAAAACAATTTGGATTACCTTTAACTTAAAAAAAATAATAATACAATCTATATATATATCTGACTTGTCCAATAAGATATTGATGTATTTTGTGCTATCCTATAACAAAGGAACTATTAAATTTAGATTGCCTTATAGTCATTACATTTTATGACTATATTTTTTTATACATACACATACCCACAAAATATAGATAGCGAGTACAATTGTGAAAAAAGAAATTTATCTGAATGAATGAGAGATATCTTGGCACAGTTGATGTTTGTATCCTTGACCCTGACGAGAATAGAAGTGATATATTTTGGTTTTAATTAAATAAAGGATCTTCGTTATACTTAAATGTACAACAGAAACCTACATTTTAAGCTAAAATGAGACACCAAAATCGGGGTCTTATAGCAACGAAATATTCAAATAAATAAATAAATATCTAAGAATAGGTAGACTTACTTAAATCGTACACCTAAGAGCAATCTCCAGGCGGGACTAAATTCTTTTAACAATATCTTCAACTGATATCAATAACAACTCAGGGGCTTCTATGTGACTTTTACTGTCAGGGAGAGAATTCTATTCATACTGGTATTTTATAAATAATTTATATTAGATGAACTGTAAATTCTGCGTTTCCTTCCAAATCTCCAATTTATTTTTTAGTCTATTTTTATACTAGAACAAGTAAAATTAAATTAGTGCAATTATTTCTGGTAAGGTGTCTCATATTTGTATCTCTCCATACTTTTACAATATTTAAGTTATTTTTAAAAATATCCTTTCCTATACTGTTTGTATTCATTTACTCCATTTAGAGTATATACAATATAGTGCTAGAATATCGAGCGTTCATTTAATGACTGTATTGTGTAAAATAATCACAAATTATGGATGATTTCGTAAATAAATATATTTTTTTTATATTATAATTTGAAACTAAAAATCCTTAAAATGAAAATTTCTTACATATATGTTAATTTTTTTTCTAATGCTGCCACGCTGCACAATGCTCTTCCTCCCAACTACACACATATTTTTTTACACTTTAAAACATATTCATTTATAACTTTCTCTTCAAAACACATTTTTTTTATAATACACTCTTTAAATTTTATTTAATAAAAATATATTCAAAATTTATTTCGCAAAAAACTAATCATTTTTTGCATTACAAAAAAAAACTCAATAAAAAAATTTACAAATATTAAAACATAAAATAAATCAGGATAAGGACGGATTTATAAGGAATACTGTGCCAACAACAACTTCATTATCAACAAGAACTACACCAACAAAAACCATTGCAACGAAGTTGCCACATGAACGCAGTAACTCACAAGAATGCATCCATCATAAGGCAACAACATACACCCGAAACAATCATAGCCACCAAAACAGTAACAGTAACAATAACATTAACAACAAACACAACAAGAAACTGTCACCAAGTGCAACGTTTTCATCATCCAGTCCGCAGTTATACTTTGCAAATAATAAATTAAATTGTGCATCATCAATTCATCAAAACGCCGAAGATCAAATACCGCCTCCGATTCCGCCGCTACCACTTCACTACCAGAGATCAGATGGTTTGTTGCATATTTTTTGTTAATCATAATTAATTTTTGTTTAATGTTAATCATTAAAATATATTTAAATTTTTTATTAATATTTAAATAAATTAAATAAAATAAAATGAGATAAAGGTGAATAAACTAATTGTACTGTACTTAATATATAATTTAGATGAGAGCTACGCTACCGAGACGCGAGAGCATAAAAAGCAACGTGCCATATCTAAGGCTGTACGACAAGCTGAACTTAAGCGATTAAGAATCGCTCAAGAAATTCAGCGAGAACAGGAAGAAATTGAAGTACAGCTAAAAGAACTGGAAGCACGTGGAGTACTCATTGAGAAGGCTCTACGTGGCGAAGAACAACAAAATTTAGAAAAGTAAGTAGCATCGTATGTTTAATTATATATTAATAAATTTATTAAAAATTATTTATTCTTTAATCAATTGAGTAAATTTTAAGTAAAACCTTATAACAGTCATTCAATCTACATAGTATTAACTGTAAGAAGTACATTATAATATTTTGACTAAATATTTAAAAAACCTATAATAAAATCCATTGTACAATTCAAAAGTAAGACTTCACAAACGTAAACTTCAAAACATCATTAAAGCAAAATAATTGCAAAAAATTAAAAAATAAAATTTATAATTATATTTATACTAAAATAAAAATAAGTAACGATAAATTTATAATAGGTCTGTTCTACAAGCTACTCGTAATAACTATGAGTAACACTGTGTATAAACAAGTACGTTTCACCAGCAAGTTTTCGAGTAAATGAGAGCTTGAGAGAGAGCGTAACATCCCTGTCGCAATTTGAAAATGCTACACAGACTTTACTCGTACTTTTTATTTCAAGTACAATTTGAGTTGATGTGTGAATCAGCTGTTTTGGTTTGAATTTAAATTTTTGTATTGTTTATTTGCACGGTACTGGTGTTCCCACCAGACTTTACACAAAACTGTTCCATGAAAATCTGTGTAAAAAGCGTAATTTAGCACTTTATTTGTGTTAAGCTCTCAGTTTGTACTTTACTTTTGTTTTACTACATGTAGAAGGTGGAGCAGATCTAGTTTTGTACAAAGTGTGCTTCTTCTTCGTTTCCATTATTTGAAATTCTTATTAGAAAAAAAAACCCAACATAATAAATCTACTCAGCTTTTTTTCTACTTATTTACATTCTTACTGTTGCATAAACATATACAATAAAAACAGTAATAGAAGTAAATAAGAGAAAAGCAATCCGCAATTTTCGAAATCTTCAATTCAGTTAAATAATTCTTGCAGAGTATCAAAAGGCGAGCTACTTTACTGTGCTATGTAGACGAACATATGTTGAAAAAGATGAAAGACAAGTGACATTAAGTATCTTATCAAACTTTACGATCATTTACAAACAGACGTTTGATGAATAATAAAGCAAATTTGATTTGTCTCTCGATTCAATAAATAATAGAACGTTAGATACTTTCGTAATAAGTACTTATTTATATGTACTAAAATGCCACTTGACCGCGCTAAGACAACAAACAAAGATCAAATGAAAAGTGCCAGTTAACAGCACTTAAAAAGCAAAAAAATAATAAAATTATTTGGAATATTTACTTACAAATAAAATGAAGAACAAACAAAATGCCACTAAACCGTGCTAAGACAACAAACAAAAATGAAATGAAAAGTGCCAGTTAACAGGACTTAAAAAGCAAAAATAATAAAATTTTTCAAGAACAAATTCCGTAGAAAATCTTTAAACCAACGTTTTCAATTTTGAAAGCAAAGAAAATAAAAGTGGTAAATAAAAATAAATATGCAGATATTGTGATATTGCATAAGATTGTCTCTATCTATGTATCTATAAAGATATAATTAGAAAATTATGTTTTCATTAGCAAAAATTATAATAATGATTTTATTATAATTTTTTAAACAAAGAAGTTCTATTAGATATAGTGTTCTTATTTGTACTAATGCACTGCATTTTATAATGAGTCTTACTACAAATATTTATTCATTCTTATATATGCATTACTAATTTAAAACATTAACATAGAAACATATTTATATACATATTTTTTTTATATAGTTTGGAAGCTTCAAATAACATTGGCAATAGTGATGAAAAATTATTAAAAGAATTACTAGAAATATGGCGAAATGTTACTCAATTAAAGTAAATATATTAATAATAATATAGATTTATATATATTATATATTAATACTTTTTTATGTTTATATATAGACGTCGTGACGAAGAACTTGGAATAAGACAACAAGAACTACAACTGGAACATAGACATGCACAATTGAAAGAGGAACTTAATTCGCGTTTATCAAATTGCAGTGAGTATTATAAATTGCAAATATAATTCCAAGAATCATTGGATCAAAATATAGAGTCTTTCGTTTTAAAGTCAACAAATCTTTTGCTAGTTAATCTAGTTGTTAGCTAATCTACTTGCTAGTTGCATTGTTAATTGTAATTGAATATAACATTATGTTATTAGGTAATCAAAAATTGATTGTCTCAATTGAAAAAAAAAAAAAATAACGATGATCAAGAATGATTCATAGGAAATGTTATTTATACAAAAGATACTCAATGGTATATATCAATATAGAACATAATGTACTATATTATAGGCCTTTTCTTTTGTAAGCATACCGCAATAGAACTACCGCTTATTTTATAAATAACATATGAATCAACAACACCGCTAACTTATTTAGTCCAACTTTTTTTAAACCGTTTAACTAATAAGCAACTCAAATCGCATGGTTGCCAAGATTATAAATTCGTCTATTGTGAACGACTTTTGGAAGTACCAAATTTCCACGAAATTTCCAGTTAACTGTCAACAAATATTTCACAAATAATACTCAATTCCTTTTAATTTACTGGAATTTAAAAAATATACTTAATTCTTGAAAAAGCCTAAAAATATATATAAATAAAATATTCTTATCCATAATTGCAAATTATTACTATTACTATTTTCAAAACATTAACTTTTGTTACGTGTTTTGCATATATAAACTTTCAGTTCTTCTGAGGTTGCTTCAGAGATAGTGCTTATTTTATGTTGTTCTTTTACGATATGCCTACAAAAGAAAAGGCCTAATATAATTTGATATAATAACAATCTGTATAAAATTTATTATTTATTGTGTCTAAAACAGCCAATCTTTAAACAGTTTTTGAGAATGAATTTTCAAAACAGTTTTTGTGAATGAAGAAGCGCTTTTTAAAACAAAAGAAAGTTTTTTTATTGTCCCATCTTTAAATAACTTTTAGGAGAGAATTTTTTTAGTTTTTTGTTTTTAAACAGTTTTAATATAGTTTTTTTGCAGAGAGAACGCAAATAGAATTTCTTTGTTGTCGTAACTTCAATTTTCAGTTGTTTACATATTTGAGAGAAGACTCTTTGGTACAAAAAAAAACCTTTATAAAAGATGTGTAAGAAGTTTCCATTTGAAAAACTGTTAACTATTAAACGTGTCCCTTTCTGTTTCTCATATAAAATATCAAATTTTTGGTGTATTCTTGTCTGTTTAAACTTATAAGAACTATATGCTGGACACCGTAGTTACAATCAATTTACTTAACAAATATTTATTTGTTTTATTTTGATTCTATGATATTAAATGCAATTTATTTTTAGAATTGGATAAGAGTTCTGCAGACGTGGCTGCTGAAGGAGCAATACTGAATGAAATGTTGGAAATTGTTGCGAAACGTGCTGCACTACGTCCGACAACGTCAGCCACAGAGTCACCAGCAACAGATATGCTACCCACCACATCAAAAGCTGTAGAATGTGGAATTCCAGGCGGTACAACAACCGAGAACGTAGCGGTTAATATACGAGGACAATCGCGTGATAATGATGAATCAATTGTAAGAAATAAAAATATAAAATAATACGCATATATGCTTCATATAATAAATTCTTATTTTTCTTCCAATTAGATTTGAAAATCATATAACAGGCTTACATGGGTCCATTTGCCTATTCAATTATGTTTGCAATATTAATTTGAAAAAAAAAAATTATTAATAAAAGTAATATTTTTATGAAAAAATTATATAGCGCGGCATATATTTAAAAATGATTACTTTAAATATATATATATATATATAAAACGCATAAATTTTAAACATTTTAATATTTATTGTGCAATTTTCGTGCATATAAATTTTACGAGCATATTACGAATTGTTTTATTAAAATAAATTAAACAAATTTGTACCATATTTTGTTCAAGTCAAATTTTAACAAATATTTTATTAAAAAATATTATATATTTAAATGCTTGTATATTTAAGTGCAAAAATCGGGTTCTTATATTAATATTTTGTTGCGAACGAACAATTCATGTTTAATGAAATTAGTTTGTAAGTGTTTAAGTCATAAAATTACTTATTTATTTTTTTACTATTTATTTTTATTTAATTATTATATTCATTGTGTTAAAAAAAGAACTATTTTACGGAATGTAATTGATTGTGTCAATTAAAAATATATATATTTTAGTTATCAGTTAGTTAAAAATATGTTATTTTTTTATTTTATTTATATTTGATTGTGTTGTGCTATTGGTGTATTTTGTATGTAATTATTTTCATAATATAGAATTTGTCACACATTTATTAAGTTGAATTTATGTATATAGTACTCATATACAGAAAAAAAATTAACCTTTTAATAAATATTTTTAATACATTAAATAATATATACATACATATATATAAATATATATGCAAATAAATGCTAATTATGTTGACTTTAATTTATAATTAACCTATATTTTTATGCAACGTATTTAATCGAATTTATTATATGATTTTTTAAATATGAATTAATAAAGAATTGTGGTGAAAAATATATAATGATTATTTCACTTTTTTTTACACTAAGGTGCGTTATATGTTGTACAAAAAAAATGAGAGACACTATTTCTTTTTAAGCATTATTGTTGTTACTGCGATAAAATTTTGCAAACAGAGGAAATTAGAGACAGATGAAAAGACAGAGAGAGAGAGGAAGAGAGAGAGAGAGGAAGAGAGAGAGAGAGAGAGGAAGAGAGAGAGAGAGAGGAAGAGTGAGAGAGAGGAAGAGAGAGAGAGAGATGAAAAGACAAAAAGAGAGAAGGATAAAAAGACAGAGAAAGATAGAACCACAGATTTAGAGAAAGAGATGGATTAATAAATTTTAATAGATAAATTTAAATTTATATTTATTATATTTATTTATATATATTTTATATTTATACTTATTTAAAAAATGAAAATCGTTATAAGCAGTAAAATGAAAGAATACAAATTATAATTATATTAATAGAATTACATATATATTTTACATATACTACAGATAAATTATTCACCCACTGGGAAAATTAATCCCTAATTTTTGTTTCGAATATGAAGTTTTGACTATATACTCTGAGTTTAAATGATACTTCGATGGAGATAAAAGTTTATTTAAACTTTCATAATTTGCAAAATATTAAATAAAATATGTAAATTCAAATTTCTGTCGCTAAGTGTACGCAACAGTAGATTGAACGAAGTAATCTGTCTGCCCTCTCACATAAAATATGAGAAATAGAGATTTATATAGTGAGAAATATATGAAAGTAATTATACTGCTCTATTCGAATATGAACTGCATGCATATGAAGGGGTTAGGTGTGCGCTAAAGTCTGCAGCTTATATCACCGTACATTTCTATTACACTTTGAATCTCCCGTCTTAGTAGTACCACACACGAATTTCTGCCACTAGGTGTGCGCAGTAGTTGGCCGCACATTTATACGTTTCGAGTGCCTTCTATTTTGTTTGTCCTCTGCATAAAAATGTATGGTTTTGAATACAGACACTTGTTTGAAAAAAGTTGCTTTGAAACTAATGCTTAATGTTTATTCCATATTTAATACATATAAATTGATAATTTCCTTTATTTAATTCATTTTTTTGTTAATGAATTGTTGAATGTTATATTATGAATATGTTGTTGCCTAATGTAATATAGTTATTATTAATTAAACATCTCATCTATTTCAATTTATCATTTTTGATTTAAGCGGTTGATTTAAGCGGATAACCGATATATCGATATCACTGCAATAGTTTACAAAAACTGATTAACCAAATTTGATTTTATGAAACGGTCGTTATATCTCGTTTTTCGTCATATTTGGGCAGACGTTATATCAGATTTTGTTAAAAGTAATTTCTTTTGTATTTTTAATAAATATAAAAATTAAAAAAATTTTTATTTGTTATTTATATAAATTTTATTAACGATATTTTGATTTTTTTGTTATATATATTATAAAACTATCGAAATATACAATTTTTTTATGTTAAACACTACTTTCAACGGTGTTATGTTTATTAATTATGTACTTAATTATAGTCATATAAAAATTATATTAAAAGGTGTAAATATATACCATCATATATATAAGCAATACATAAGACAACTATAATCAATTGCGTTTTTTTCCATTTTTTTGTTGTTCCTTTATTTTGCCATTATTTGCATTATGATTTTTAGCATTTAAATCGTTTACTAGTTTTTTTGATATTTTTAAATTATCCAAATCTTCAACACTGTCAGAATCCGACATATGATCTGGTGTAATCAGTTCAATGGCACATCGTCTTGGAAACCAACCACGTATGGGTCCTTTACGCTTCATTTTTTTTGCATTTAGTTTTACGTCATCCAAAACGCGCTCTCCAAATAGCCAATGCTTACGAAAACGTGTAACTTTTATAACGTCACCTGGTAATAGACGAATACGAGGTTCATCCGTACACGGCGGTGACATACAAACACGACAGCCTTGAGAAAATAGTGGTAAAATACGACCTGTTGCTGGACGTATGCATTTGAATGTTTTAGTACGTGCACGTTTTTCGAATTTCTGTGCTAACTGTTCACGCTGTGTTCGAGTACATCGCAAAAGGAAGGAGGCGTGTTAAAGAATTGTAAACAATTATTTGCACATAATAAAGTAATTTATCAAGTCACAACTTACCGTTAACGTGTACTGATTGCAGCCATCGATAACAGGCCATTCAACGCCATCTCCTTTCATTAGGCACGATTTCTGAAACACTTGTTGTATATTACGCCGTACACCCAAGTCATAAGGATACTTGAACTCTGGTATCTCAGGATTAAATTTACGTCTATATAGAGCTTTTTCCATAATCCAAAGTTCAATGCCCGTTTGATTTGTTAATATGGATTTAAGCTTTAAAAAGCATTTAGAATAAAGTCAAATAAGTTTATTAATAATTAAAATAATATTATACCTGGAAGTATAATAGCATCGTTAGAGCAATGGATACACCAATTGCCAAGCCCATAGCAATAATACACAATACAAATGTAAACATAGTGAATTGTACATTAGCCAAATCGTACAAACCATGGGTTAAATACCAATAGCGATGTATACCACGATAGAAGGAACACATTAGAATTATGGCACCATGAATACTTCCAATGATGGAAAAGAAAAGAAAAAATGAAAAATAAGCATGGTTAGCCCAACCCACACAATGGTTTATCCAGGGGCAATGATGATCCATTTTCTTAACGCAACGATTACCTAAAATATTTGGATTGTGAATATTTATTTTAAAAATCAAAGCATAATCCATCGAAACTTACATTTTCGACAATGATGAGAACGCGGCGCCTTATAGCCATCACACTCTTTACAGAACTGCAAAAGATCTGTACCTACAGAGTTCTAAAAATAAGAGAAAAACAAATAAAAATTTTTAGAATATTAAATATATGACCACCATTAGTTTCGGTTACCAATAAATAATCAAATCGCTCTTCTTTAAATTTAATTAATCAGCATTTGTTTCAATATTGATATTTATTTTGTATTAGTTACTTATTTTTTGTTTTTGTTTTTTAAAACATACTTTACTGGATATGAATAGTGCCATCTTAACTGGACATATAATTGATAATTTTAATTAAAGTGACCTCACTGATTACTGGATATAGAAGCCTCAAGTATTTTCTGCTCAAAAAGTATCCGGATTTTGTTATTTGTTAACTACTCCTTAAGTAATAGACCTTTTTCAACCTTTCAAACTAATAGACCTTTCTTGACATATGGTACAAATTTGAGCGCCATCTGTCAATTAGTTTGTTTACAACATCTGTTAATGTGAGACTACCTCAAGTGCATTTAGCGATTTTTACTATGGAAAATTCTTGTTGTACGCGATTTTTTGACCAAACACGGCACCACTGTCATCACTCAGGCACTATATTCGCCAGATCTGGATCCATGCGACTTTTTCCTGTTTCCGAAACTCAAATTGCCCCTACGTGGTAAGCGTTTTGAGTCGTTTGAATCGATAAAAGATAATTCGCTGAAGGAATTAAAAGCCATACCTTAACGGGCCTGTGGAAGATTGGGTTAAGCGTTGGCATATGTGTATCGCTTCAGAAGGAGCATATTTTGAGAGAGATAAAATAAAATTGGAATAAAGCTCAAATTTGTGTATTTTATTTACAAAATCCGCATTTTTTCCGTACTTTTTAAGCAGAAGGTATCACCTCAAAAAGACACTTGCAGACTCTGTCTAGTAAAAAAGAAAATAGCGCTGCATATATTATGTCCAGCACTGGCCAACAGAAGGATAACTGTCTTGGGACACCATTGAGTTGATGATGACTTGGCAGCCAGCCCCAAGCTAAATGAGCTGCTTGCAATAACAAGAGATGTAGTTTTGCGAACAGAAGCCAATTGAGCTTTAACTCAATAACAACATCCGGGAATCGAAGGACAAAAATGGACCCAAATCGTTTTGTGATCTACTTTGGCTTATCCTTCACCTCAGTGCGGTCTTTTGATAGACGGTGCGCAGTCCCAATTTCCCACAATACATATATATGTGTTGAGATATTACTATTTTTGAAGTGTACTTAATAGATATTAAGTGACTCGTGTGATGAACCGTGGGTTCAGCTCTTATTGTTAATATGATAATATATTGCGTTGATAGTTAACATTACCAAATTGTGGATATTGTGTACTGAATGCTCTTTTTCTTTATGGTACAGTAAAATATTGGTAGCGCTGTTGCATTTTTTTACAACTTCTATCCAAAAAATAGACGGAATTTTTAAAAAAATGCAAAAAATCATCAACTCATATGGAGAATCGGATCAATTGCTGGTAGGCTTGTAGTTGCAAAGCACTTTAAAGGTTTTATTGAAACAAAGAAAATAATTTTAATCTACTGTTCTTTTCTCTATTTATTTTATAATTTGGTTACCTATTGAAAAGTGTGTAATATCGTTTAAACAATGCTGCCAATATTTATCAAATAATTACTGAGAGAAAAGTTCTTCGTAAGATCTTTGGTCCTCTACGAGTTGGCGACGACTACCGCATTAGAATGAACCACGAGCTGTACGAGCTTTATCACGACATTGATGTAATTCAGCGCATTAACATCCAGCGGCTTCGCTGGCTTGGTCATGTCGTGAGAATGGATGAAGACGCTCCGGCGAAAAAGGTGTTTGAAGCAGTAGTCGGCGGAAGAAGACGTAGCGATAGACCGTGTCTCCGGTGGAGTGATCAAGTTGAGGGAGCACTAACTGGACTTGATATACGAGACTGGAGAAGGCGCGCACCCAGCAGAGGCGCCTGGGGAGACATGCTGCGTTATGGCCACATAAGTAAGTAAGTAATTACTGACATGCCTATTTTATGCCTATTTTGAGACTGAATTTTTTTTGGAGCTGCAGTCCGCAATTAATTGTTTGCTTTTTGTTTACAGTTATAGAAAAATTTATTATTTTAATTAAATTTGTTTGTTTATACCATAAATAATTTTTATATTAAATATTTATATTTATTTAATAGCGTACTCTCATTTAATATACTCATCGTTAATATTTTGTTAATAAATTAATTATTTACACATTCAAAATTCACAATCATTCAGGTCAAAAATACGTCGCTTATGATATATTCTATATGGGGAACACTAAATAAGTCATTAAGATCAGCTAAAAAAAAATTTGTCGGTAAAAATGGTTTAATTTTATTTTTAATTTTTCACAATGGATTATACACTCTCTTTATATTAAACAACACACATAATCAAACCAATGACAGTGAAAACAGTACCTCCAAAACATGATTTTTAAACCCGTCAACAGCATCTTTTAGCCATGAAAATTGTTCTCCGCGCAGTTTTCCTTGATGTATGAGAATAAAAAGAAATTATTAAGGGCACAAGTAGGACTGAACGACGGATGACCCATTAGTCCAATAGTCCAATGAGCATTGATCATCTTTTATAGTTTTTGCTTTATTTATTGAATACTATTAAAAAACGAATGTTTGGGTAACTCTTAGCGTGAACTGTTTAACCTTTTTCTAAAGCTACCATTTATGCATGACCTAATCTTGCGAAGAAACAAGGACTATTTGTGTCGAAGTGCCTAAACAGATTTGATTGGTTTTTTTTTTAGTATTTTAAAAGATCCATACAACTAATTGAAATTTTTCTTTTTTGTGCTGATACGTATATATTCAAATTTCATCACTTATGATATTAGTTTATTGACTGGACTGGACTGGTGCTTGTTTTTCTTCAGCGTTTATCTACACTAATTGACGTGAGTCTTTTATTTCAATAATTGTTAAATTATGTGAGACCCAGTGCGCGCATAGCTCTCTGATGGCCAAATGTTTATGCAGTGGTAGGAATGTGAGTTCCTAGATTGACTTCAATCTATATATATATGTATATATATACATGGCATATAGATAGCACATGGCGAAAAATTTTTGAAGTACAGTCCAATGTTAATTTGTGATTAGCCTATGATGATCGGTGAGCAAAGCCGCTCTTGAATGAATTATACCAATGATAAACATAAAATTATACCTTCATCACCAATTCTCTTACAGTTTCATCGCTGCACTGTTGTTGTGGTAATCCACGTCGAATATTGTAAAACATCATCCAGTGAAAACGTTTTGAAATTCTTTTTTTTTTTTGATAACATAATACAGAGCGCGTTCGTTTTCTAACATAACGTCAGTTGACATTGATTTATTTAGTGTCACATGTAATTATGGTCAGTAATCTCAAATACTCAAATACCAGCGACTACGCTGGCTTGGTCATGTCGCGCGAATTGAAGAAAGTGCTCCGGCTGGAAAGGTATTTGATTCGGTACCGGCAAGTGGAAAACGCGGTAGAGAACGTCCGTATCTTCGGTAGAAGGATCAGGTGACCAACGATTTGGAGGCACTCGGTACTACCAACTGGCGTCAGAAAACAACTAATCGGCCTGACTGGTGGAGGCTACTCGACGCGGCCAAGGACGACCCACGTCTGTAATGGCCAACTAAATGAAAATAATAATCTCAAATACATATTTTAGTAAATTGAAAAGCAGGTAAAATCAATATTCCGATTCTTTCTTGTGAAACTTTAAACATTACGCGGTTAGTTGACAGTACAGATGTAATAACGAAATCATCATAACGGATTTAAATCTATCCCGTTGTATATTCAGTACTAGTTATTTCGAGAGATGAAATTGTTGAAGTATTTGGATTCCAAAAGAACTATAACCTATTAAGGCACTGACTTCTGTTAGGGAAAATAAAAAGGATGTGTTCTTAAAAGTCGTGGCAGCTTGTTAGGTAGATGACGATAGGAAACGAGCAATAGTCTCAAATTGTAGACACAATAGTTGCAACTATTGCCATTATTTAGACCATGTCATATGGTATTTATAAAATATTAAAACTCATTTCAATTAATTAACTTGATTAACTATTTCAAACTATTAGTTAGCTTAACAAAATTAATTCTTTAATTAATACAGATAAATAAAAATATTTTAAGTATATACATTTAACTATACAAATTACAGGAGCAAAAATATTAAATTAACTCCTACATAATTAGGTATACATTTTACGTTGCAACTGAGTCCTTGAAAGTGTATATTATTAAAATGAAATTTCATTATTACTTAATTATTATATGCGATAATCCCTAGGACTCGTATGGGTTGGGCCTTCTTCGCTGATAATATAATATTTGTGTAAATATAAATATTAATTAAAAAATATACACGCAAGTTTCCCGAGCGACTTAATTATCATAAATTGAATGCAGTTTTCTATTTACTCGCAGTTTTTTATGCAAATATCCGGCTTATACGGATATCGCATATCGCGTAAAATCTCAATTGCTTGCAAGAGTTGAATTTGTCATAGTTATCGTTTCCGCTATTAGCGTGTACTAGAAAATTAAAAATGCAATATTTTAATTCCTTAATAACAAAATAAATATGCTGAAAACTGTTTTGCATAATGGCGAGAACCTTAAAGAAAAATGCTTTTCTATGGACTTTGTCGACAAAGCACGGTGAAATATCCGGTTCATATGCTGTCATGGTCAACACTTTAAACCGTTTAATATTAGCTAACCACTTACAACAATGATTAAGGACTCGACACGACAACCATTTTTCTTTTATATAACACGAAATAACGACTTTTAGTCCATTCAGCGATTTGTCCTTATTTGTGAAGCCAAAACATTCATGCAGTTTTAATAGTGCAGTGCATATGCAATAGAAGTGTGTGCACGTCGTACATTTGGGACCCATTTGGGAGGTTAGTGTGATATATCGCACGAAATAAATTCAATTTAAATATTTAAAATATCGTGCAATATAAACATTTTTATACAATATTGCTTTTACAAATAAAACAACTTGACACTTTGGCAGGCTATCAAGCTAGTGCAGTTTTAATGAAGAATAAATGGTAGAATTTGATTAGGTGTGAAATAAGATGATGGAGGTAGGGGCAGACGATGAGGAGAATAAAACAAATCTGAACTAGAGTGCATATATCTCTGTATGAGCCATCAGTAAAACAAAGCCAAACATCATTTGGGCTCATTTTGGGTTTATAATGGCATACTTGAACAACATCATGATATATAAAGCTACAATTTTTCGAGAGATGATAGATAAAAATATTTCGAGAAGGTATAGTTTCGAAGATAATACAACACAAGTATGTAAAACTATCATGAAATAGTAAAATATATCAAGAATAGGTCCCTGTGGTAATAGTTGTTTATTAATATTGATGTGAACACATGAATTGTCTCTTTATTTTTCTGCGAGATGATATGCGAAGATATTTTAACAACTTTACTAAAATCAATGTATGGTTTTGAGAAAATACAAGTCCATTATATAAGACTGCGATGAAATATATTAAATATATAATAATATATTAAAAATAGTTCCTCCATGGAAATACTTACGTATTATTATTAAACGAAAACATGAATCTACGAAAAAAAGAGATGAAACTCTACTGTTTAAATATTTAGGATAAGAGACTTTTACAAGAAACATCTCAAATTCCGCATGACATCCCACAAATGCATGCTAATTAACAATAATAGCAAAAAAGAAAAAGTTGCAAAACTAAATTTTTATACGACTACATATCGCAGAATCATTCATTATATTCAACTACCTAGTTTAATATTTTTGTCAAGGATCAGTGGTTCATCTGTAGCATGATGAAGACCACATATATTAGATATGATCTTAAGGTATAAAAACCTATCAATCTATGACATTTTTCTCGCTGAAATATTCAAATTTTTAAAACAATAAAGACGGAACTATTTACTGACAATAAATTACAATGAGTGCTTATAACTAAAAACGAATTAGTCTTTGAACCCTTTGTGCCACATTATTTTCTTTACGGTAGGCAAATCACAATAAAATATAAACTAAATATTTTTTGAAATCCCACTTCTATTTGCTTTACAATAATTTTTAAAATGAAGAACCGATCTCAATAAATTTTTCAGTGATTAATAAGTTAAGTTGTCATCTGTAAACAAAAAAAGTCACAAGATGCCAGTAATAATGTTATTAAGTTTTTGATCGGGCGAACAGAAAAACACCGAATACTTTTTGCCCAATCAGACATAAATTACTAAAAAGTATAATGCTCATTACCTTGAGGGTTGATTATTAAAATTTATACATCATTAAATTATAAAATTTTATATTTTAATTTCACTATATATAGTATATATGTGATATGTATCTGAATTCATGTTTGTATTCCATAAATATTTAAACTTTTCCAAAAACAATAACATTTGGATATTATTGACGTCTGAATTTACCTACATTCATTTAGCAACACTTTATGGCTCATAAAAATTTCAAATCAGAATTTAATGTAAGCACTTAGAAAAAAATAGTTGAAAGTAGATGTATGTTATATTCATACACATCGGTATACATATATATTGACGCTTTCATGAAATGAAGCCTATTATTTATTCGGCCTCAATATCACTATAGACGTTTCAGTAGCCCATAAACATATATGGCTTGCGTGGGAATAATTATCAGTTAAAGGATATTTAGGCATTACGAAGAATTTTGTTGCCTTTTTAGTTTCAAAGTAATTTATTTTGACATACTAAACTATAAAACTTATTTACAATTTTTCAATAAAAAAAAAACGCAAATGAATAAGTAAATAAAGTAGATACTCACCTTTGGTTGCCATTTTCTTGGTAGTATTCCGGGACCTGTTAGGGTAGCTAATGCAAAATTACATGTGGCTAATGTTGAGAAAAGCAAGAATATCGCTTGATTCAGAAAAGCAGTAATTGTGCTATTTGGAGGCCACCACATAGAATTCATATAGAGCGTTGTCAATGTAATAGTTTTTATAATGCCTGGAAAAAAAAAATTATGCTAATATTAAAGTCGAAAAACTTAATAAAATTTTTGTAAATATAAATTGTAAGATGATATCTAATAATTAAGATTTAGTTGATTGTAATATTTATTACTATTTACACAGTTCAGTTATTTAAACAAAATACTTTATTATGCCAAACTTTGGAAACGCAGAATAAGAAAAAAATATTAGTACAATTTAATTATTACATTTTTTTTGAACAATAAAACGACCTGTTAGGTTTAGAAGTAAATCAGTATTGTCCAAAGTCCAGCTCAATACGTATCTACGAATACTAAAAATAAAAGCTATAATATAGTTTTCTTAAGCTTGAGACTTTAACTGGATAGATAAATGAGAAAATTAAGTAATTTGAAGAATAGAAAGTTTTAAAAAAAAATTTCTTGAAACGAAAGTTATAGGACGAAATCTTTCCCCCAAAGATTTGCATCCGACGATCGTTTTTTCATACAACAAATATCCCGATATCTCCCAAAATGAAAAAAACATAAATCAAGTACAATATAAATCACGATCAACTGCTCGGTGCTAGTTGAAATCATTCTCTCAAAAGCGTTTTTACACAGTTTTCCATACCACCTTTCTAAAAAACTTGATCCACAGATCTTGATCAGATCTATAAATGAATCCACAGAATGATGCAATTGCAACTATTTATTAAACTACATCGTAGACTTTACATCTTCAACTAAAGAGGTTTTCATGACTCCATCCATTATCATCGGTAAATTGATTGTCGTTTTCAATAATATGTTGACCAATTCTGTAAATTCCACGACAGAGTGCAGTCAACTGAAATGCCGTTACAATGTGCTAAAAACTTCTCACATACTATACGTAAGATAAAAATAAATTAACTCTACTGGAAACATAGAATTGTATTAAAAACCTTTACTCCCTATAATGTCAGTCACCTGTTTTCATGAACAAATGCACACATCAATGTAAATCCCATTTATCGTTGGCTTCGAATCATTAAATTGGCAACCTCAATTAAGTTTGTAAATTTTTCTTCACCTAAATTAACTCGTCTTTTTCGCACATACCCCTATCTAATCCAAATCCTTACACATGTATTTGTATTTTTTAATTCCTTTCTATCTTCTGCTTTACAGATCACCTTGAATTACAACGAAAACAACATATAGTGCTTTCTTGTATGATCAGATTGACACTACATCCAAATTCTCAACGGACCAACACCTGATATTTTACAAGAAGAAACGACTTCGATATAGGAAGAATAGCGTTAGTCATCTAGGCTCAGTATATATATAACTATGTGGTTAACAGTTATTAAAAACCCATAAATCCAACTATTCTCAAATACAGATCGAATACAGATCTGCTACACATAAACCCACACTTAACTTATGGGTTCACAATATTGATGTCGCAAGATTATAATAGATTGCGCCACTATCTTTCCAATTCTATATTTCATAGATTATCTTTACCAATTTGTACTTGTATAGTATTTTTCCAACAAGTCGTTCATTTGATTTACAACTGCAAAAACAAGGTTGGTGGTGGTAGCGCCATAATATATTTCTTCAGTCTAAAGGTTAGACTTTTAATAACATTAATTCAGACAATATCTCTATATACGAATACAATAAATGTTTCAAACATATACATTTTGCAAATGCATATGTGAATGCTTGTATCTGAAATTCTGTGTTTAATATCATGTATGGAGCTTCAAAAACTCCCTTATTGTTCTAGAACAATCTGTCTCTTTTCCTTTTCTTTCCTTCTCCTTATACTCACCAATTTAGTCTAAATTTACAAATGTCGACATATAAATAGAACTTCTAAGCATATAATTTGTTCGCTCGAAATTCTAAGAAATTCTATTTGTTCGAATATCTATATAAACATATTTTTTTAATATTAAAAGATATAAAAATTTATAATATATTAAATTACAAATTTCATCACTTGCGCATAATCTTCATTAAATATTGATATTACTTTATGACTAATGTGAAGTCTGTATTCATTGACTAATGTAAACATTTTAGAAGAGATAAGAAAAAATGTGCATGTTTGTATATTTTACATTATTTTTAAATAAATAAATAAGTTATGTTTAGCTTTTTAAAAAGCTTACATACCCTTTATACACACTTACTTAATATTGTTTAGTAATAATTTTTATCAGATTAAAACTGCTTATTTATTTGTTCAATAAATAAATGAAGCAAAGAAAGACATATTAAACTATGTTCGTACCACCAAGAAATTTTATAGATATGAAACAGACAGAACAGAACGTATTATTATTATAAGATATATATCTCTTTTGTCTATATCTCTAAGACAACCTATAGTTTTCTTAAAAGTAATAAATATTGCCTGGAAAAAACTGCAATATTCAGAATTTCTAGAGTATTTAAGCATAACCAAAGAAAGTAACACTACTTACTAATTTTTTATAAGAAGTCACCTAACACCTAAGCATATCCGGACTGATAATTAACAATTTATTTCTCATCAAAATTTAGAATATTGAAAATGTAACCAACATTGTAGATGCAACACCAAAAGACAGGACTTCATAGTTGAAGTGAAAGTGAACCAGACAAGTTTATAAAACTAGTCAAGTCTGTAATTTTGCAGAATGACATATCTGTTAGGTCATTAAATAAAGGGGCCTCGAATATTTTAAATCTGCACCTATGAGGTGGAGTAAAATTTCCTCCTTATCCGCAGACCCATAACCACGACAAAAGTCTTTATAGGGTAAAACTAATTTAATAACATGTCTTTTTAGTATGCAGTGACCTATCAGCACCGATACCGTAGTGTTAAGCTGGTTACACCTCAGTTGAAATAAATGACTGATACTTTCCTTGTCCAATTTGGATGAGGTCGATTTTAAGAACCAACATAGGGTTCTGTTACCCAGTTTCGTTTAGCGAAGCTCAGATATTTTTATGTGATTAGAGACATAATTAGTTACAACTAAGCTGAAACAGCTGACTAGTACGTTTCTTTCCAGTTTGAGTTTATCTGCTAAATATTGTTAAGCTATGCTCAGATTTATTTTGTTTGATTAGAGTTATACTAAGTAATAATTAAATAAAAAATCAGTTCAGTTTAATATCTATTTGATATAATTAATCAAATTTAATTTCTTCAACATATATTATAGATTCCTTCCCAAAAAGATTATGTCAAACGTCGTTCGACAATTCTGACGATTCCACAGCACAATCATATTGACCTAGATTGCTATGTCTAGATTACTTTAATTCAACTTAAATCCATTGATATAAATATATTAGTAATTAGTTAATGCTCTCGCTTCTGAGAGCGGTTGAGTTTATTCTTCAAGATCAGATAAAACGATTATAGATTATAAAATATTATGTTTATATGTTTATGTGTGTAATTCATATGTCCTATCTAAATCTAGATCACGCTAGCGCTATTGAAAGCGGTTGACTTCATTCCACATAATCAGTTAAATTGGAGATCATAAAATAAGTTTGTAATTTTTACGTTCTATCTAAATACCTTTATCTTTGTATCTACCAAAAATATTTATTTACCATTACAAGCTGGTTAAGATCACAGTCACACTTTTATAACTCGAAGTACCATTTTGCAAAGAAAAGATTCGACTTATGGAGACTTTGACTAAAAAAATATTTTATAATTGTATGTAAATTGCTCTCTAAACCTTGTTGCACTCTATTTAGTTCAGATTATAGAAATTCGAGTTATGGGCGTTCATTCCGCTGCAAACTTCTTGATGAAGTTAATATACCTGCCTCATAGTAAGTGTATTCGGAGTGTAAAGAAAGCGGTACAAAACAAAGGGGTGGTGCATTTTATAAATATGTTTATCTGAGTTCTATTCATTATTATGTACTTTAAAACGAAAAAACTATTTATGTTAATGTGCTGGAGTGTATATACCATATGTAGGCGATAGTATAGAAAATAAATATGTACATGATTAAATACAAGCACCAACAACAACCTAACTAACTAATAATAGAATTTAGAGTTATTAATGTATTAATGTAGTTATTTGATTAAACAAATTTTTACAAATAACAATTTAAGCATTTTGCGATTAGGTGAGGTGAAGCCAAGTGTAAAAAAAAAAAAATATTCAAAAAAAAAAAAAGAAAGAACAAACATTTACATACAAAGGAAATTAAGTGAAATTCTATGCGGAAAACCACACGCAATTCTTTTAATAAAAATTATGCTGGAAACTAATTTTCCTAATGTGTTTCGCATGTTGATTGTGATTTGAGAATATTAAAACCGAAGGTATGTTTATGTGGGGGGTATTCTTCAACCTTCTATATTTAGAAATAAAAAAAAGAAAGAATTTTATTAAAAAGTGAAAATAGGTGACACTGCCACTGTCACTGCCCTCTTACCTAAAACAATACAAGCAATCAATCAGTTTTGTTACTAAAGTAGCAAATATTTATACTATACTTGCAAGGGGCTAGGAATTATATTCTAAAATAATATTTTAATTTTTATTTATAAAATATTGGTAGAATCACCACAAAAGGGTGTTTAATTTAAAATAAACAAACGAAAAAACCCCCAAATATTTTGCTAATAACTTTTTTATGTAAATACGACTAATTAGTTTGTGGCCTTGGTTAATAGTACAAAGGTGACAATTTGGAAAATTTTATAAATTTTGACTCACCAAACCCACCAAATCCAGCATTAACTTTTTGTTGAGAAAGTAATAGTGCGGCACGCAAATAATATTCCAAAGCATAGAAGAAAATTGCAGCACATTTGCCTGAACTGTTGCACGGTAAGTAACAGTTATGGCCGTTTAGCCAAAAATTACTTCAGCACTTCTATTCATAATATTCATTCATTTTGAATTAATTATGTAGGCTCGGTGGAAGAAGTCATAATGTAGCTACAAACTCAAATGTCTAACTTATTTCCGTTTCATTCACAAACGACGGTAATTGCTTGGAGTTGGCACGAAATGTTTTGACGGTTTATAAATTTAGGGTGTTACGATAGTACGATAGTAAATTGCGACTAAATAAACCACTGCCAATATGCAAAGGAAAAACAAATTATTTTGTATTTATAACTATATATCAGACTAATGTTAATTCTTTGTCCAAATTTGATTATAATTATAGATGTTGTCCTTGTACAAAATGAAATAAAATTTCACATACTATTATTTCTTATTATTGCATTCATTTAGAAATAAGTGTTTTTTAAAAACAATAATTAAATTATGAATATTACAAATCTCTAAATACTCATTTAATTCTATAAATGCCGATAATCTACTCCCACTTCACAAAATATTTTAATTTAGTATTATTATACGTACCTATTGCAGTTAGTGGTCCCCAATGTAGGAATCTATAAAATTCTCCCATTGAATATCGCATTTTATTTATATTTTTTTATTAATTATTAAAATAACTGAATTTTATTTTTTTTCTTTACTGTTTCACTATCATATTATTACAAATAACTAGTCCGATTGACAAAACAACCACGCAACCAACGCAAACGAACAGCAACAAGGAACTGTCAAAACTGTTGTAAATATAAAGCAATTCGCAAAATTTATTGTTTACATTTTTGTTTGTACTTTACACGATTATAACACAAAAGTTACACAATTTATATTTGTTTGAAATCGTAAACAGGGTGTTAAGTGAAGTATGTAAAACAAAAAGTTGAATATTTATGGATTTACAATAAGTTAGCGCTAAAGCATCATTATTCGAATTATTACATGCATTTCGATAAATGAATAAAATAATAGCGTAATAAAAAGAAAGAAAATATGGTGACAACTAATGTATACAAATATGTAAATTTCAAACAAATTTTTGAAAATTTGAAAATACTTGAATTAAATTTTATTTAATTTTTAATCAATTTTTGATAATTGCTACAATTATGAATGATTTATTTGAGTGGGTTCAATCAACACCTCTACTTTATTTTGTTAGTAGACCTTTTAATGCCAATGGAATTGTGAGGGCTATGTTAAACTACATCCATTCCAAAGCGTACGCTACGGTACAACGGCATATTCGCAAGTAATCGTACCTGCGAAAGTTTGTTCGTTTGTAAGCGTTTGCTTTGGTGCAAATGCACCTTTATTTAAATCTACATAGATTATATAGATAAATAATTTAATCGCCGATGGCCACATTTGTTGTTTCTTTCAATGCTTTCAATTTTTTACCTTACTGCTTGAACAAAATAGTAAAACTGAAACCATTAGCGGCTAAAAATGAAAGTCTGCGACTGAAGCTAAATCCTGAGTCCAAATTCTGCGACTGAAGCTAAAGACTGCGACTAAAGCTGAAACTATGAGAAGAGGTGTAGTGCTAGTGATAGTAATAGAAACAGAGTGCAATAGCGTGACATATATAAATATATATATAAATATAGTTGTTTGTTTAAAGAACTTATCATTCTTCTTAATAAAAAAAATGATATATATATAAAAAAGTAGAATAAGTGATACATAAATAGCAAAAAATGAAAGATCGTGAAGAATCCGCTTTTATTATGCTTGAATTAATGTTTAAATGTTGAATTGTAGTGTGATATCTATATACTCAAACAATATGAAATGAGTGAATTGTTGTATTTTTCTATTGTTAAAACTTTCCGATCTCTGTTCACACTTGTATTTGTAACGGCTCACGCAGTTATATCCGTGACAGATATATTTATGTTACACATCAAGGTGATTATTCTGAAATTTAAAAAATGGAAGCTGGTTTACAACAAGGCAGCGTTCTGGAACCTCTTTTATGTCTTTTATACCTTTGTTGTTTACAGCTGATATGCCTGTTTTTAGAAAAAACATGATAGCTATATTCATTGATGACAACGTCCTAATATGATCAAATAGCTATATTGTACTGGTTACTCTAAAACTATCAATTGAATGACGCACTGTCATGGTTTGACAAATGAGGTATAGAAATAAATACTAAAAAGACAGCTTAAATAATCTATACAAATAGACGACATAACAATTTATCAATAATGAACCTATTAAAATTATTACTATAGCAAAATTTATTAGAATAACTATTGACGCAAAACTATTTTGAAGAGAACATATGATATAAAAATATTCGTTAATAATCATTAATAATAGCTAATATCGTTTAAGGTCACTTTATTGGCTTTTAAATAGAGAATGCAGTTGTAAATAACTTGCTTATTTACAAAAGAATAGTCATGCCAATTTAAAGAACTGACATTGAAATGTGGAGTATTGCATTATTTTAGCATTATTTGAAAATGCTACATAAATAAATGTGAAACGAAGTACTTAAATCTATAGCCAAAACTTTACTTTTTAATGTCTGTACATTCTTCACAGTTGTAATTATTATTGTTTGTTTTACATTATATGAAAAATTCTATACATTGCATGATCGAAACATAAACCAAAAAAACAAAAGAAGATTTTTATTCATTTAATTAAGTTGTATTTGTTTAAAAATTAATTTTTCATTAATACTGATCTCTCAAATTCAGTGATTTTGTAATTTTTAACTATTAACACAAAAATTATTCAATTTATTCAAATGCATCATGTAAAACCAGTAATGATCAGCAGCGCAAATTGCAACTCTGGCAAGGAGGATCAATAGTTTTTGAATTTCTTTTTTAGTTCATTTCTTTCTTATTTTAACAATTTCTTTCTTTAACACATTTCAAAAAAGTAGCATAATATTAGGTAAATCGTGTCAAAGAACTTGGTGTTTTATTTAGTATTATAAAAGTTACATGTAAGTTTTGTTAATTAAAGAGTTTTTATTTAATTCATTTCCAAATCGATAAAAAAAATTTTTGTACGATATTGAAGTCGTGTTTCACTTTGTGTTTAACCTAATTAAAGTGATAAGCAAACAATATTTGTATTAAATTATGTGTGAGCATATAAATTGTAAATTATCTTATCAGTAAATTTAGAAATATTTTAATAAAAATGCATAGAAATAATGTATTATTGATATATTAAAGTGTTTGTATTATTAGAAAAGTATGCAATCAATTTTGATATGCGAAAGTATAAAGTGTATTAATATTTTTGATCCCTAAATCTAATATCATATAAAATTAGCTGTGTTATAAAGAAAAACTTGTTGCATTCGTTTTTCTTCGTATGTTTTATGCTGCTATTCGTTTGATGCAAAGCAAAGAACGCTGCCATTTTAATTACGTGTGATATTTATTGTTTCTAGGCGTTGCTGACGCAGTCAAGATTCTTATATTTTAAGCCTAAAAGTAGGCTTATTTCATTCAAAAATCCTTTTCAATTTTAAAATTATTGTACACACGGCCTGCAAATGGCAAGTGTTAAGAAGCAAAATGGGAATCGTTCCATTAACGGCCCAAAAATTTTAAATGATAAGCGCATGCCTGACTCACAAGAAGTGCAAATAATGACGACTTTGCCAATTCCACCACCGAAACAAATAAACTTGACCATAGCAAAGAGTAAACAAAAGAAAATGGATCACTACGTCTTACAAACAACTTCTATTAAAGGCGAAGAAGGCGATATAAGTGATACTATCGACTTTATTCTTACTGATAATGATGAAGTAAAACCTATTAACACAATTACGAGTACTAACGAACATGTTGCCGAAGAGTTGCGCTTAAGTGGTGATGAAGAGGAGGAAGAAGAAGGCGAAGATCGCACTGAAGAACATATTTGCGGTAAATGCTATAAGTCATTTAGACGATTTAGTGTGAGTACCAAAATTTGCATTAGTTTTTGAAAATTTATTTAATAATTTTTTTTTTTTTTATAGGGACTTGTGAAGCATTTGGCTTTTTGTCACTTCGATAGTGATTATCATTTACGAAAAGCAGAAATGATGAAGAATATTGAGAAAATTGAAAAGGATGCAATTAATATGGAGAATAAAGATATTTGCTTTTGCTGTGGAGAAAGTTACGATACATTTCATGTAAGTTTTTTCTGATTTTTCAATACCATCAATTTAAGTAACAACCTAATTAAATTTTACTAATTCGCGTTACTGTACTTCAAAAATAGTCAGTAAAGAGAGTTTGTGAGAACGACTCATTCCGTACTGTACAAAATTTACTTCAATTTTGCTTGATAAATTTGATCAAGTAAATTTGTTGCAAAATGCAATTGGAAAATCGAATGGTTATAGTCATTAAAGAATAACAAATTTTTTTTTATGAAAACAAAACGGTCAACGCGATTAAAACAATACAATACTGATTTACAATATCGCGTATAGTACAGGAACTTGAAAACGTTTTCGTACTATACTTGTAAATTGCATTACTCAAAGAGAAAATATAAAATTATTTTCAACTTTTAATTTTACTTAACTTTCACTTGAACAAATCGGAAATAGACCTAATGATATATGTAGCATATACATTCAAGTATAAATACCATAGTAATCGTTTAATTTTGATTTAATGTCTGTAGTAATATCTCGTATCCTTATGAACCGATATTTCATTCTGCACTTAACGGAATTTGTAGGTGTTAATATCATCTTGGAAAAGCATTAGTTACCAAGTACTTGCCTAGTTAAGAATCACGGGTTTTAATCGTATCTATTTAGGCCGATTATCTGTCAAATTTTTCCTATTGACTCGAACAAAATATTTGGATTAATTTGAGTTTAGATCCATTTAGATTAAGATACCTATTAATATTAATCCTATTAATTTGAATTAATTATTTGCATAAACTTGAGTTCAGATCTATTAGATTGAGATATTCGTTTCGTATGAGCTGTTTGGATGGCCTTAATCAATTGGCAATTATAAGTGCAGAAATATGCATAATATTGTACTTGTTCATTTTTTAACTTCATGGACAACAACGTTAGTAGATTAATCACTTTGAATATTGTAATTAATATATATCAGTTTTAAAAAAATGTTCCAATGATACCGAAATAAAGTAAGGGTTAAGTCATAATTAATTTTAAATAGTTCGATATTCCATGAAAATATGGATATATATTATTCTTATTTTTTCTATTGCTATTGTTGAAACCCGTAAGGATCTGTTAAGTAGCTAACACAAAAGAAATTACATGACAAATACTTTGGTTAGGATGTGGATGGGCAATGGTTGTATGAGAGGGAAGAAGATTGTTGGGGAGTGGTGGGGGATGGGTGGAATTTAAATCAAAGTCAACCAGAATCAAGACGGAGAAACCTAGTGACTTCTATGGGGTAGTTCGAATGGTCGATTGGACTAAGGTTTGTATGAGCGTTGGGACAGGAGAACAGATGCACGACATCATGAGGGGTAGAGCTGCAATTTGAGCAAACATTGATAATTGACGTATTTATGCGTGAGAAGTGATTGTTAAGTAGTATAGTTTTTATTGCACGGGAAAGGCTTCGTCTTCCTGGAAAATATTAGGCACGGACCTATTTTTGCTGTCAAAAAGTTTACATCTTCACTAAATTCCTACTGTTAAATTTATCTTTTGACTTTAATTAATACATATGAAGAAAGGTTTATGTGTTCATAATTATTTATTATTAAATATTAGAAATAAATTCAACAATTACATGAAACAGATTGTACCAAACAAGTCTTAAACATTTTCCAGATTGCGGTTCACTCACAATAGCCGTATAACTAATAACAAAGTAACATTATCTATTATCAATAGTTAGTATATATGTTAAAATTATTTTTAATTTGCAATCTATTTCTTTTTCAGTTAGGTCAGATAAATTGTCCTGATTGCCCAAAGTCATTTAAAACTCAAATAAGTTACGAGCGACACATATTCATAACACATTCGGAATCTGATGAATTTCCGTGTTCTATATGCAATGCAAAATTACGTACAGCTAATCTATTGAAGCTGCACGAAGAGCAACATAAAAACCGTGGTAAGCCGTATGCCTGTAAAATATGCGGTAAAGATTTTACTCGGACATACCATTTAAAACGTCATCAAAAATATACATCTTGCTCAGCGAATGCCAATGACACCATGAGCTGTAAGGTGTGTAATAAAGTTTTTTATCGTTTGGATAATTTGCGAGCACACTTAAAGCATCATCTGGGCACACAAGTAACCAAGAAAGAAGAATACATGTGTCCAATTTGTAAAAATTGTTTTTACAGTTTATCAACTTTAAAGTAAGTTCGAAAAGTTAATTTAAAAAACATTAGGAATACAATATTTATTTTGTATTGTTTTTTTTTTTGTTTTATTTTATTTGTGCAGCATACATACTCGTACACATACGGGCGAACGTCCTTTTGCTTGCGACTTATGTGACAAGAAATTTCCATCACTGGTTGCTTTAAAAAAACATCGTCGTTATCACACTGGGGAAAAACCATATACATGCCCTGAAGTAAATATTGCAACCATTTCAATTTAAGTTTAATTATTGTGAACATAAATTTTTTGCAGTGTAATCAAAGTTTTGCTGTTAAGGAGGTACTCAATCGTCATATGAAGCGACATACTGGTGAAAAGCCACACGTTTGTCCCGAATGTGGAAAAAGTTTTATACAAGCCACTCAGCTTCGTTGTCATAGTAAAACTCACATACGTCCATTTGGTTGTGATCAGTGTGAAGAAAAATTTAAAACTATGAAGCAGTAAGTGATTTTATTTATTTTAAGATGCATTTATAATTGCATATAATTATATATACTGTTGGGTTTATTTTCCAGGTTAGAGAGGCATACCAAAATTCATTCGTCAAAGCGCAAGCGTAAAAATAAAGCTCAAGAGCACAAATTTAAATGCAGTGAATGCAAAGCTACTTATACGACGGAGGAAGAACTTAAAACTCATTACGACGTAGGAGTTCACATACGTGAGTTATTTTTAATAAATGTATATTTTAATATTTAAAACAATAGATGTAAAAAATTAATTATTAAAATCATTTAGTATTTTAAAAAAGTATTTTAGCTTTTTAAAAGTAAAGTTTGTTAAGAATAAAACAATAGTTTATTTCCATGGTTTGCTTGCTAAAACCTTATTGCGTTTTCCGTAATTTTCCAACCGGAATGACGGGCCTGAAGAAAACATTCCAAAACCATTTGTGGAATGTTTATATAGAAATTACATTCTCTCTACAACGAACGTAACTTATTTTTTGTTATGTTATTGTGTTAAAATTTAATGTAATATTGAAATAATTAAACGTATCTATAAGAGATATAGTTTTTTAAACATTTGACCTATTTCCAATGTAAACTATAAGAAGTTTATTATAGCAGATAAATTTGTAATCATTAAAGTTAAATTGAAAATTATACAATACGAAAACAATTCTTAAAATAAATCAGGACTATGATTTATTATTTTGAATCAATTTGACTCGGTTCTGAAACTAGTTTATTTAGTTAGTTTATTTCATTTAATTATGCTAATGAATCGGTTTAAAACTGATGGAATTCACAACCGATGCAGTTCACACAACCTATACAGTTTCCAATCGATGCGGTTTGCAACTTGTGCGGTTTACAACCGGTGGGTTTAACAAACGATGCTGTTAACAGCATCTATTAAACCGCAACCGTTGCGGTTAACAACCGGTACTGTTAACAACCGGTGCGGTTAACAACTGGTACGATCATTAATCGTTGCACTTAATAGTCGGTACTGTTAACAACCGGTGTGGTTAACAACTGGTGCGCTTAACAATCGGTGCGGTTAACAATCGGTGCGATTAACAACCGATATAGTGTTGTCAACAACTGATGAGGTTAACAACTGGTGCGGTTAATAATCGGTGCGGTTAACAACCGTTGCGGTTAAGAATCGTTGCGGTTAACAACCGTTGCGGTTAAGAATCGTTGCGGTTAGCAACGTGCGCAATAAACAACGTGTGCAGTTTACAACTAATACGGCTGACAACCGGTATGCTCCTGATATTTTGTGTAACATATTGTAAGATTGTGACAAACGACAAAATCGGCGAGAGAAAAAATTCAGAATAATTTAAATATGCAGATTTATTATTATAAATTGTTACTCTCCTTAATAAAGCAAAAATATAGGATAACGAGAAAGCTTGGCCATTGTTCATGTTTAGAACATCATATCACAATAATCTCGATCTACTTCCTGCGAATCTCCATCATCGGTGCAAAATGGACATGTTGGTTATGTGATGACCCCGACCAGTACTTTAAAATTCTTTCAAATATAATACTAATTTAATTATATTATAATTTTATAACTATAGTTTTATTTATAACTATTATTTTTATGAATACAAGTAATTTTCAAATATTAGGAACAAAATATCAAGCAATATAAAATATGATTTCATTTAAACATTTCATACGAATTTATATGGTATATTTTAGCTACCTATACCAGCAGTAGTATCCAAATGGAGAAAGGTCGAACAGATTGTGCTGTTTGTGATAAGGAATTCGATTCACTTAAAACTCTCAATTCTCATATACTTAAAGTACATGATGAGAAGCCGGAAACTTTCCATAATGCTAAACGTGCATCAAAAGTTGAATTGAATACTTCTGGCTCATCACCAACAAAGATTTACAGGATTGATGATTCCAATGAAAATCCCATTGAAAGTATTACAACAATCAACAATAATGATATATTACCAGTAAAAAATACTGATCAAACATCGATCGAAGGTGGTGTTGTTGTGCAACAATTTATAGTAGATGAAGTTCCTGAAAGCACCACTGAACAATTATTGTTGGAAAACAAACTATACACTGTTATACCATTAGAAAACGAGACTATGAAAAGAGAATCGAAAATCACTGTTCCTCAGGAGTCACCAAAAGACAGGAAGCGTAATATAAAATCTTTAGCTGAAAGTTTAGTGGCTGCTATTACAGATGATGTTTCTGATGATGAAGGACAACTTATGATAGTGGAAAATGTGGAAACTGAAGATGATATAAGAGTTAAGGGCAATGTTCGAAGACTATTGGATATTTTAGTGGACAGATCTACTTTGAAGAAATTCGGTTGGCCAGAAGCAACTGAAGAATATGTATGTTCCTTAATTAAGTTTAAAGTATTTCAATTTTTAATTTTGTTTTATTCATTCTCATTAGGTGCTCTGCAAGGTTATTGAAAATTGTGGTTATGATTTGGGTAAGGATGAGTCGTGTAATGCTGATAGCGATTATGCAACACGTATGCGTGAATACGTTAAATTGCTATTTAGTGTTGTAATACACAATGATTCCATAAAAGAACTTTTAAATAATTATCCAATCGATGATGTAATTGAATTTGTATTGGATAATGATGATCACGAACGTGAAGAAGATGATGACGATGAAGATGATTAAATTAAATGTTTTTAAAAATATTATATACGTATGCTATACGTTTT